ACCTACTAGCGATGGCCTCCAACCTACTGGCGATGGCCTCCAACCTACTGGCGATGGCCTCCAACCCAAGAGCGGTGGCCTCCAACCTATGAGCGATGGCCTCCAACCTAAGTGCGATGGCCTCCAACCTACTAGCGATGGCGTCCAACCTACTAGCGATGGCCTCCAACCTAAGAGCGATGGCCTCCAACCTACTAAAGCGATGGCCTCCAACCTACTGGCGATGGCCTCCAACCTACTAGCGATGGCCTTCAACCTACTAACTAGCGATGGCCTCCAACCTGGACTGGGTGGTTTTCTCCAAAGTGACATGGCTGCCGCGTTAGGGATGGTATCACCATGGTCAGTCCACATGGGTGTGTCAACTGGGTCTCTCCCCCGATCGCCCATGGCTGCTGGGTCAACTGGTTTCGGTCTCCCTGGCTGTCATACACACCTACATGGTCACCGTACATTATCACCTGACTTGGTGGAGTGAGGACATGAATGGTTTGATCGGTCCCTTTCCTTGTTGGCATTGGTTCCGTGACTCTTTTTGATGATCCGGATACTACTTGAACTCTTCTCACATGAATGACATGGTTTTCGGAAGACCACCGAGATAGTTGCTCTGTCTATCCCCTTCCAAGCAGAAGGGCAAGGCAAATCCTATAACAAGCATCAAGGACATTGCGACTGTGCACCAACTGATACCATAGTCTCCAGCGATGGGGGTGGCAACAGGTGGGGGTCGTTGTGATTTAAAGTATTCCCAAACAAGCTTGGCCAATGTTTTGCCGAGAACAGGCTTGCCAGTAGACAATGGGGGGGGTCATCAAGTGTCCAAGTGTTGGCATACCAGCATTCTATGTTGCAAGTGCTCTACAAACTTTCGGAAAGGTATGTATTTTGAAGCATCTGGCACCTTCTTCTACCTCTGGATCATCGCGCATTTTTGGCATATGCTTTAAGTGCAATGAGGTCGAGGACCCAGAAGCATGAAAGGCCAACCTCGCCCTTCATTTGGCTAATTAGGGTGATGTGAACAGTGAGTTGGCTGTGGGCCGAAACCAGTAGACCTTGGTTGACCTACGGTCAAGTTGCATGGTGGACCAAGGCTCGAGGTTTTGGCATGTGACCCATGACCATTTCTCTCCATCTCCAATCTCAGCTGCGCATCCATATCGACCAGGTCCCCTCCATCGATCAGCATGCCGCGCTCCGCGCGCTGCGCCGGCGCGGCGCGCGAAAGAGAAGTGGAGCGAGCCGAGGCCGGCTCCGAACCCTCGGAGACCTGGGAGGTGGTGGCAAGTCAATGGAGAGCTGAAGATCAAAGGCACCAGGCAAGTGACTGACGTGCGTCAACTTCACCTCGCTTGGTCGGCCAAGAGCCGACCAAGCCATGAGCCAACCAGGGTGATTATGGAGGCCCCGCGACGTTTGGGTCAGTATGGCCAAACTTCTTACGTGTCTTTGCCAGCCAGTGCTGCAGCTTATGACGTCAAATCTGTCCGAAAGAGACCATATTCTATCTCAATCCGAGCCTCAAAATCCGAGATTTGGCAGAGAACCCGAAGGGTCTCAGGAGGTTGCATTCTTGCCGGGGGACCAAACAGCAAAAAGAAAATTGAACTCACATGTCTTGCTCAACAAGTGCAGACCAGCTTTAAAATGCTTTCGGCTTAAACAACCGTTCAACGGTTGAGTTCAGTGTTTCACCTTGGGGGATCCTCTCGTCCTTCGTCACCGCCGTCAAAGGACTCCTCTGTTGAGCATGGGGATCGTGGGCGGCCGCAAGGACTGTGAAGATCTCTGGGAGGGCCCTCGTGAAGGCCCTTGGCCGACATAGCGTTCGGCCGACCCGACCGCGGCCGGAACCGATCCCGTCGCCGACCCGACCGCGACCGGAACGAGACCCGAAACGAAAGTGGAGAAGGAGAAGGTTGCCAGAGAATCTGGGACATGTGTAACAAGAAGCTACCAGTAACAAGTGCATCGCTACTAGTAACAAGAAACATGTTTGTGCTTAACATCAGTACAAGTGTTTAGAAATCCGATAGCCCCGTGACAAGGATAAATGTATGTATATGTATATACATGTCAATCCACAGAGATAGTTTCAGCCACTGATCTTCTTTGCAGAACCAAATGGATAAGTCACTTTATGTGAAAGGAGCTCATTCATTTGTTCATTCCCAATGTCATCCCACAGTGATGAACCTGCGCACCATGAAAACCTCTGTCCGTTTTGCGACCGGTTCTGGTGGATAAAACCATGGGTTGTCCCGACAACACGTAGTGCGATGCATATCCTTGTCCGGGACCCCCTTTTGGGTCCGGGGTGAAGGGGCAGGTCCCGAGGGTAGCCCACCAGCGTTCGGGTAGCCGACAGTGGATGGGCTGAAGAAAGGGAAAGCAAAAACCTGCGAAAGACACCAGTTGTGGGTTTTCGAAGACCGCAGCCCTGACCTGCGGTCTTTCCCGCATCAGCGATGGATGTGCAGCTACGGACCAACCCATCAAAAAAGACCCATCTCGATCCGGCTCCCAACACTGTCCATCCAGGACATCTCCTCAGCCGCTGGATTCGTACAAATCTTAGATCAAGCCGCTGGAGGTGGAACTCGATTCCGTATTCATGCGAGAGGAATGGCGCGGTGTTCGCACCTCAGAGTCCTGATGTGAGAAAAGCATGGAGTGGAGATCTGATGAAAGCTTCGCAAAGCAGAAGAACCATGCAGATCATATAACTATGACTATAACCCTAGTAGCTTCTTAGTTATAGTAGATGTTGTCCTCCACCCTAGTAGCGATGGCCTCCATCCATCCAGTATTTGTGGTGGCCCTGAAAAAGTGGTCAAGACTGGCAATGTTTGCATGTCCGCCACACGCCTTCGCTTTTCTTTGCTACAAAACTCGTTTCTTCGTAGGACTCGCTTCACAGAGTCCTGGTTCTTCTGGGCAAAATCTTCTCTGAGTGGTCTTACTCTGGCTGGATTTGGATAGATTTCTGTGAGCTCATGGCACTCATCCGCAGAACGGTTTCCCACTGCTGCCCCACAGCCCATGACGAGATTTTCGGGAAGACACAGGGTTGCACAGGTCACTCAGACTGATCTGTGAAATCTTCCAACAAGCTTTGAAGTGGTCCATGTCTTCAACCCGTAGCCCTGTGCAACCCTGCTGGGGAAGAGCCAAATGTAAGCGCTATCGAGCAAACGTGAGTGCCACAAAAATGCCTCTGCATTAGCCGCGATAACAAGTTCTCAAACCATTCATCTAAGGCCCAACAGACATCTGCTTCACTCAAATTCGGATCTCCTGCATCCTCCAGTCTGAGTTGAACAAAACGAGCGGCCTCGCTAAATCGCCTCAAATGCTCTCGCTCAAACGAGTCGCCTTTGGGAGTCAGACACGCGGATCGCTCGGCCCCTCCGCGGAAAGGCACCGTCCCTTCACCGACCGCGCCTCAAGGGCGGAGAGCCATGGCCATTCCTGGCGACGCCATGGGGAAGGTTTGATGGAAGTGCGTGGATACCAGGAGGTTGGAGGTGCCAAGTGCTGAAATGGAGGAACACATGCAGCAATAGGTCAAGACCTGTGACATGTGGGAAACAAAAAGTGGATTCACTGTTCATCACTCTTCGATCTATTTGAGGGTTGCTACGTCACCAGTCAATATTGGGAACGTATCGCAAACAGTTGAGGCAACCACATCGAACTAAGAGATCCATTGTTTTCCTGTCATATGATGTCATATGTGAGAAATTCAAGATCATGTTCGGCCCCCAAACGCCCAATCAACAGTCTAAGGGACTGATCTGACCAGTTGACAGGCTCACGCCGACCGATCGCCGCGTCCCCCCGGGGGCCTCATAAAGTTCCTGAGGCGGCCAACGCAGCATTGCTGGGATCCATACGAAAAAACAAAAAATGGAAGCACTGTAATGACACCTGATATTGCTATGCTTGAGTTTAGGGAGTTTTTCTGAAAGGAGGGATGTCCGTCCCTGTTGTGAGCCGGGCCCTTCTGGTGGACTATCCCCCAGCTCGACACAAGCCTGTGGCATCTTCAGAAACCTTACATCACAAAAAAGAACAAATGTATCAAATAAATCGCACCAGCGTTCTCATGACAACCTGGTCGGACTCTCGGCCTTTAACACAAGTTCCTTCCGGGAGTGGGTCTCAGGGCAACAAAAAGGTGGACTTCATGTGTGGTGCCAAGCTGCAAGATCTCTTCCCCACGCTCCTGCGCAAACAAGCTGGTGGGTATCAGTACCGTCAGGAAGACGACAGAGCTGGTTTCGGACGTCCGATGATCGGCGGCAACGCCAGGCCGATGAGGATGGGGCGTTATTCAAGGGCTCATACGACGCACCACAAGGTCGGCAAGCCAAGGATGTTTGAGTACATGCACATTTGCCATGGGATTGAAGATTGTCATATGCGTATACACTACTGACTAATTGTGAACTACAGTACCTCAAAGACGTGCTTCATCACCCGTGGCACCCGTTGCAACCGAGTCCGCTCCGAGTCCACGGACTCGGGTTGCTTTCGTCACATCGAGTCCCCGGCTCCAAGATGTGACGACAAGTGGATGTTGAGGGATGTTCAGATTGACATCGGCGTTTCACATGTTTCACATGTTTCAGTTGTTTACACCCACTTTCCTTTCAGACATCGGAATTCGCCCTGCGAGATCGATCTGAGCGTGTGTCGTTTCGCTTTCCAGGTCTAGAGGATCACGATTTGACTCGGCAAAGCGAGGCGACTCGAATTCTGCTTAGATCGCCTGAAAGGTTGGAAAGTAGGAAATAGGAAATTCCAGTTCCCGAAGTAAACTCGTTTGTCAACATGTCTCAAGAAAATCTGCAGCATGAGTTTAATCATGACTAACAAAATGATGAGCAAGCCGACAATCGATGTGGACACAATGTTGGATCCTGATCAGGAAGCCTAATCAGGGTCATACCAACTAGACCCGGAGGATTCCTTCATTTCCCAAGACTGACGAACAAGTCATCTGCTCCGCAAACCTAATCGTCTATAGATATATTTATATAGAGAGAGAGATTTACAATAATATGTTTTATATATATATATGCATAAATATAAATAGCAATAATAATATCAAATTATATGCCTATAAAAGCACTGTTTTGCTCAACTCTGACACCGAGTGCCAGGACAACTCCCATGCGAGCCTTCCCGGATGGTTGCAAGCACGGAGAGCCCACACAGGGCACCAAAGCTGCAACCGCCGGGTCCTTAGATGTCCAAAAACTCGTTGCCCGCTAGATATGCTAGATTCAGATGTTCAAAAATCCCACTGGTTCCCAAACTTCCACCAACCCAAGCGAGCCAAAACAGATTCACACCGCCTCAAGCCATAGGTGGACCTCTAGTCTAAGCATCGATCTCCATGCCAACGTTGAGATGGCCAGATCAAAGCCTTCAAGTCGAGTCGACCAAACGATGAAATTCTTTGAGCTGACCATCCTGCTAGGAGCTAGGAAGACAACAGTTTGGCTGCATCCCATCTACTCCAAGCTTACCCTCTTTTTTTATATTATGCGTTTCATCGGGCTTAGCTGCTGCTGCTACGGCATCTGCACCCGCTGTACTTGATGGCGCTGGCGGCGGGGCAGGTGCATACCTCAGTGATTCATGTTTTCACATGCACTGTGTAGATAATGGACATCTCCTGTCAGTCACATGATAAGGCATGTCTTTTCAGTGGTGTATAATAATTATATACATATAAAATAGTCAAAGTGGTTAAACAGATACACAAACCGTTTTCCATCACCTCCAGCACACCAAACCCTGGTCCACGTCTTAATGTGTGCGCTTTCGACCTGCTGTCGACTCGTCAGAGGCGACAGGACACCGAACATCATTTGGGGAAACAGGTTGGTAGGCTTTGACCTTGAAAAGTTGCTGAAGTAGGCACTGCTTAGTCACTGCTTTCTGGTTGGTGGGTAAGCTTTTCAAGTCCATCTTGAACTCTGAAACCATCCACCTTGCATGGACCTGATCGAGGATGGTACACGGGAAATTACATGTAATTACAATGCTTCAGACAGCTGTGACACCATTGACTTGCAGAGCTGTGCTTGATACAACAGAATGTCCTCCGTGATGTCAAGCTTTTATATTGGATTCGCGTTGCATTCCTTAAGCATTTCTGGTCCAATTTCCATAGAGCCAAGGGTTGAATGAAGGCCTTCGAGCATTCAAAGTTCGTGTGGGCCACATCGGGAACTGAGAAGCTTCTTCTTCGACCATTCCCGAGGTCAAAAGCTTCTTTGTGTTGAAACACAAAGACCAGATTTGCAAGCGCTTCACGAAACAAAGGCCCCGGCGCGCACAATAGGGGGCTAGCCTCCAGCGAGAGTGGAGTCTGGTGCCAACCCAGCCATTTTTGCAAGCCCGGCCCTTCTTGTCGATCTGTTCATTCTTCTCGGACGAGAAGAGAGTTGAGACACACGTGTCACAATTTGAGGATGAGAGAATGAGACTGTGAGAGAGAGAGAGAGGGAGGGAGGGGAGGAGGAGTAAGAGTAATAAGAGTAATAAGAGCAGTAGGAGTTGAGAGTGTGGTCGTGCATCTTCAAGTCACGAGTGGTACAGCAGCATTACTCGCTATACGGTTCTCAAATCTGGGCCCCCTTCCTGGGACTGGCTTATCAAGCTATGCGATTCAAAACTGTCCCTCTTTCCCCTCAAGCCATTTGTGCTGAGACGTATCTGGAAGGAAGAAAAAGTAAAGACATGCGATCATGTCAAGCTTTCTTCAAGCTCTTAAACCAAGATTAGCTTGATGACCCTGGCTTTCCATGGCCACCATGAAATGAAAATTGTATCAAGTCACACTTGGAAGATGATCTTCCACAAGGAATGACTGAAGCATGTTGTCTGCCTCAAAATTGGATCTTGATGAATCTTGTGCTCCTTCAATTGCTTTGAGTCACACCCAGTCATGAAAGTCCGTCCGTTCGGCACCTTCTGTGGCTGCCACAGTGGCACCCCCTTAGAATTTCACGGTGGCAGAGTAGGGGAACCCCACAGACAGGAAGAGAAAAAATAGACTGAGAGGCCTACCTATACTAAACGGTTCACATCTATTGGATATACTTATCAATAAAGCAGGGCGATCGGCTCTGAAGAGTAGCATGAAACCTGAAGAGGAAGGTCTTCAGGTTGCGCCTCTGGGGAGGTGCACCTCTATTGAAATCTGCTTGGCACGAGTCAGCCACTTTGAGAACTTCTCAATCGACCTCTTTCGAAAGGTTTTGACATTGCACCTGGGTCGCTGGGTGCACAGACGATACTCCTCAAGTCCCGTTTCTGCTTCAGCGCTGTGATCACAGCATCTGGATCTGAGCTTGGCCTGACACCAGCCGCAAAAGGTTCCAGTTTGCACACATCAAGCACTCTGGCACTCAGGAAAGGAGTCAAATGATGTAGAGACAACAAACCTTGGCAACAGCCTATAGGCGAACACTGCGTACCCAGTTCATGATGTGAAGAGAGCACAGCTCGGACCGCGAACTTCAACTCGTCTATCTTTAATGCCCCATCCTTTGGTGCATCTCAAAGCGTTTTGCCCTTCGTTTCATCAACCCAAGTCTGACTCTTTTTGTTCTGAAATGCCATGGTCCTGGAACTCCTTGGGATGGATATATCTTACAATCGGGCGACCCGCAACCAGGTTGTTGTGTTTCGGACTAGCTGAGGGTCTTTGGGGTCCATGTAGCGGTCTCCGACACCAGGGACAGGAGCCCCGTTTGTTGCGTCCGATCGCTCCTGTGTTTGCTGCCACCCAGCCATCGGATCCAGAAACCTCTTGGGAAGCCGAAACAAGCCGTTTCCGCCTCGAGGACGCCGCTTCTCCCATGAGCTCGGCGAGGGTCTCGCACAAAGGACCCGGGACCCGCTGGAGCTACAGACCACAGAAAGCTTGAAAACAAGAAGAAACAGGGGGTGCATTGATAAACTGGGCCTGACTGCCTCACTAGGCTAAAGCTGTTTCGTGCGTCGCTTGGCTTGCCCTGAAACTTCATCTGAAAAGGGTGCATTGTCCAAAGTAGGCTGTTGTCGGGGCTCCAGCAACGGAGAGGCCAACCCTACTTACAGTAATTCTTTGGAAGGCCTGCAAATGATGCAAATGCAGGGGGTGTTCACATCTGTTTGCACTAAAAGCTTGCCAAGTAAGCGTTTCAAGCATGACCAGAGTGTTCTTGGGATCCTTGTTACAACTGGAAGAACTCACTCATGTAAACTGTTCAAGACTGTTTCAGTGGACCGTTTCCCCTCCTTTCGCAAATCTCCAAGTCTCAAGAAAACAAGGCGTTGCAACGACTCCCGGGATTTGCACCATCCAGTTGGGTCGAGTTCTTGCAAGAAAATCAGTTCGACCCCAAGGGTCGCGGTGTGAAACTGTTTGAAACAGCATTGGGGCCGTCTTGAGATTCTGGTCTGCAGGACCTCAAGAATGCTTGGCATGATCCTTCACCTACACAAGCCCTCAATTCAGAGTCTACATACATTGTGTGAAATTATATGTATCTAATCCTCCCACACCTTCACCCCAAGTCGAGCGGAACACCTTTTGCGCTGCAATGTGCTGGCTTGGCTCGCCTTACTCCACCTCTACCATGTCAAAGAATCAGTGGTTTCCGCGCCTGAGCCCTATCAATCCACTCCCCCAACTCACATGCGTCAACGTCCAACCTGTGCATCTTCGGCCCCCCGGATCCCCCCGGCCAACCGACTTCGCCATCGCCGTTCTTCGCCGACCCCGGACACGTGTCGCCTTCAGTTGTTGGGGCTGCTTGCTGATGCGGTGCGCCTGCGCTCGCTCCGGAACGACCGGTCGGCGGTGACCGGAGCGGACGAAAAGGCTTCACTTCTACAGCGTCTGCAGAAGCTCGCTTCTTGGAAAAGGCTTCACTGTTTTTCAGGCTTGGCTGGTCAGTCCGAGTCAAACATGCTAAAAGGGATCTGCCCACTGAAAGTGGCAGTATGGTCATGGGGAGGACAGGGGGGCAGTCGCTCTCTTTCGGCTGGGTCCAGAATGTGGTGATCAGGCTCAGTGTCCTTTCCCCCAGTCAATTGCACAGCTTGCTCAAAGCCAAAGATATGATGTACAGGCTAAACACATGATCTTCTTGCTTGAAAGGAAACACCATGAGGATGTCGGGCCATGTCATTTTATTATGAAGAACGGCATGTCTGGATGATGATCCTGCCACATCCAGCTCCTCAGCTCTTTCGTCGCCCAGCTCAGACGGTCGGTCCGGCTCGCCCCAACGCTTTGCGCCGCTTCGTCGGCCGCGGTCGTCGTGCGGGGTTCGGTCCTGTGCCCGGCCATGGTCATCCCGTTTCATGTCAAACTGCACCCAGTCGCCCAACGCCAAGTCCTGACAGATCCAGGAAGACCGATCCAAGTCCATCCCGATGCTGTGCGTTCGAGGTCGAACGCTGTGAAGAACTGAAGAACGCGACTTGTGTGGTCTGAAACAACCCAGCAAGCCGCCACCCCGGAGTCTTTTAGTGGCTGGCTTCATTGACTGGGTGGGTGGCGATGATTTTCGAGTCAGTTGACCTGACCTGTGTGCCTCGACCTGACCTCAAGACATCCACAGAAGTACAAAAGAACAAAAGGTCTTCGAAGGTCGGAAAGAAGACCCGAAACCATCTCCTGTCCTTCCATCTCATTCCACCGAAACCATCCTCCCATTCCCATTTTTTTTCTGTCCGACCTGCAGCTCGGTGATGAGCACGTCGCTGCCAAACTGCTTCTCCGCCGGCGAGCAGCGGATCCAGCCATAGCCTGGAGGACAGGACCGGGTGAAGCGACATGGGTTGGCTTGGTTGGTTTGGATATATAACTATACCTGGAACCTGAGTGACCCCTGTTTTGGAGGGTCAACTATCCAAAATATGGCCTTTTCCTATCAAAACAGGGGTCAAACGGGTTCTAGGTATAATATATGATGTCTTGAACATCTTGTGGAGTGAGCTCAAGTCGCCTTGCACCAAACACATCAAGTCGGTGCTAAGTGGATTGGGCATGATGTTGTTGTTCTAGACCAATCCACGGTCTACTGCTGATGGATTTAATTTGAGTAGACAAGCAGTTGTCAAATGAGTGCTGGCCACACATCTGGGGATCCGATACTGATGCAACTGGGTTCTTGATGATCAGGATCACTGGATCACCCGTGTGATGTTTATGAGCTTGTCGCTCAGTTCAGTTCAGCCTGTTGGGACTCCTGGAAAGAACCGAAAGACCCCCACCCAAAACCTTCGTCGGTGAAGTCTTCGACTTCTTCCTAGGCATCACGGCATCGCTCCCTGAACACAAGAGGATTTGAGTCGCTGATCAAGGTTTGAGCTGAGAAGGTGCGTTCGCATCGGCGACCAAATTCGCCCGGCCTTGGTCGACATTCACGTAGTTGACGATGCCCTCACGAGCGCTTCAGAACGCGCGTGGTTCCACGCGCGAAGACTCGGGCGAAGAAGCGAGGATCTTCGGTGGACTTTCAGCTGTTCCGCAACGCATTCGAAGCTGCTGTGACTGCTTGACTTATAGATACCCCCAAATGGATAGAAAAAATAGATCACCACTCAAAAGGTGTTGCACCGTTTCTATCTATATGTGGGGACCAATAAACACCAGCAGTCCATGGATTCGGTAACTCGATACCTCGAGTCCTGTCTTGATTGCTCCCCTCAACAGCCAGTTATGGGGACTGAAGGCCATTGGTTCTCTGATAGAGCCCGATGCTTCACCTTTCAGTCGTGATCTATCCCTTCTCACCTGCAACACAGCATGATCAGGTTTGGAAAAAGATTGGGAAAAATGGGGGTGAATCGGGGGCAGATCCGAGGAGCTGTGTCCAAGTTGAAAGGTCAACCTCTTTTAAAAGGAGGCCTCCAGCACACTCTTGGTGGACCAGAATTCAAGTGCAAACCGAAACAAACGCTCCGTCGACGAAAGGAACATCACTCTCTTCGCGACGGCGGAAATCCGCAAGTCCGCCGGTCCTCCGATCTGGCCGGTGGGTTCCTGGAATCCTTCTTGAGCACCATGGTTGTCGCGAGCCCGTGTGGTGTTCGCGCCCGTGGTTCGAGCGAAGGGAGCGAAGAAATGCGGCTGAACTCGGTGCACTGAAGGTTGGGATGACAAGCTGAAACAAATGCCCCTCAGACCGGTGTTCTTTTTTGGGGGCGCAGGAGGAGTTGCAGGGGTCAAAGGATGTCGCAAGGGGTCAAAGGATGTCGCAAGGGATCTGGAAGAGCTTGGTAGATGAATTGTTTCAACATCTTTATCTATGAAAATGAAAGCATGAAAACGAGCTTCAAGAAGCGGAGTGAAGGATGATAGAGCTGTGAAATGGCTCCTAATCACTCAAGTTGTTGAGCCAAAGGGCAGCTCAGCATTCACAGATATTCACACATTCCGAGACAAATGTTGCCTCTTGGATCCACGAATGCCGAAAGAAACTGAAAGTCTGCAGTGAATCACAGGACGAGCTCAACAGAAACGAAGGCCATAGCTTTGTCTCCAAAGCTTAGGGCCCATCTATATTCATGTTCATCTGCGTTTCTTCCTTGAAACATTTGGCCAATCTATACAGAGGTCTTAAGTCTTAACATCATTCTCGTGGATCAGGATAAACCTGGTAGAGAGGAAGTTGCGGAAATTCACAAAACCCTCCGCACACACAAGAAAGAACACGGCATTCAGTTGATCCATTGCTCTAAAACTTACAATGGCACAGTAGCTTTGAAGTCGATTCTCCTTTGTCAAACGATTGCACTCTTCATTTCAGCAAGTATGTTTCAAGAAATCGTGCTTGTCTTACTCTGCATCCTCCAAAATCCACCAATCAAGCAGCGCTCAACAGCATGCTTTGCTCCTCGCTGACCAGCTCAGCGCTCGTCTCGCCCTCTCACCGCCGTGAGGACCGCCCACGAGCAGGCACCGGAGCACGACATCGCTCGTAGGTGACACAGAACTCGGGATAGCATTGCTTGTCGTACACCACGAACTCCCGATACCTGGGCGACGTTCTGCGTTCGGTACAGGTGTTTCTTCCGGGCGGCGGCGACGCAGCCAAGAGCGAGCCCCACGAGCCCACCGCCCTGCCGTTGCGAATGCTGAGAGGACCCAAAGGTACGGGAGCCTGTTAGGCTTGTGAAGGTGGAAATGACAGGCATGGTACTGAACATGCACTCAAACCTTTGGTCGGTACATGCGGATGCTGAGACAAGCTGTTACGACTTCTATTGAACATGTTATGCTCACGTGAAGTCCTCAATCTAAACCACTGGCTCTGGATGGGTGGCTGTGTGCAGAATCTTCAACCAGTGGTGAAAAAGCGGGTTCTCTGCCGCGTCCGGACAAGCAGAAAACCTAACAAAGTTGCAACCTCCCTTCTTGACAGGGATTCAAGCTTCTCCACCACTTCCCCAAAGAGGCAGGATATGACATAAACCACCATATACTGTATTGTATCTCTCTCGGCAGCCAAGCTGCAGCTTCTCTCTCATGTCGATGCTCAAGCCCGCCATGACGGAATCAAAACGTTGGTGCGAGCAAATACAGCACGGCACCTGAGATCCCCGACACTCGAACTGGACAAATCGGAGGATCTGTCAATGCAGAACGCGTGTTTTTTCTAACCTAGGCAAGCGCAAACTGGACATTAAAATTGTTTGTTCAAGTCTTTTTTCAAAAGTCGACATCAGACATCGAAAAACCATGATTGCCATGCAGTGCTTGCCTGTTTCGGGCAAAGAGGTGGAAGACTCGTTTTGACGTTCAGAAGCCTTCAGTCGGCACACTTCCCATTATCTCCATCTGTGGCACTCCTTTGAGTCTCCAAGGGGTCGAAGTCGGTCGCAGGTCTTCGTTCCAGAGGAGGTTCAGATCGAAATGCCCTGTAGGAATCGAACACGAGATGCAGGATGGGGTGGTTGGGGTGGTTGGGGTGGTTGCTTGCTTCTGTGGTTGGCCGCCCTTGACCCTGGCCGCTGTTCGTCGATTTGGGTTCGCAGTGGGTTCGGCGACTCCGTCTCCCTGCGCTCGACTCGGAGCATGGCGAGCCTTCGGAGCATGGCGAACTACAGATTCCGGTCGTGACTCAGATGGAAGGTCTCGTGTGGCAAAACTAGCCCATCAACACTCTCGTACCATCTGATCGTCATCTGCATCCCCTTCTGGTCCCAAGGTAAGTGAACCCCAAATACCTTGCTACTAGGACTACCTTGCTACTAGGACAAGCGAGCGAAAACCCTTGTCTTGCCGGATTAAACCTCCTTTTCTCTGCACTCGAAGTGGCTCGTGGACACAATGCTGGTCCTCCCACACTCTTTTGGTCTATCCATTTCTGACCCGACCCAAGTGACCAAGGTGTTCTCTTCCAGCCAGGGAAGGATTCTGGCATCTGAGAACCCTCCAAAGAAGCCCTTCACCTCCCACCTTCAATGCATGGCGGCCGTCGGAGCTGTTCTAAAGAGAGCTCCGTCTTGTAGGGGCCTGGGCTCTGCTTGGAACTTCTTGTTTTTGTTGGACAAATTAGGTCACATTTGCTTGCTTGATTAGCTCACCGAAGAGGACTGCGACTCCTCAAGCCCTCTGAAACTTTGTCAGCTGAAAGGAAACTGAGGCGAAAAAAGTGGATGGTTTTGATACCGACCTGTACACCTTCATGCGGAGGTAGCAGCACCAGTGGTCCATACGCAACGATGTGTTCCTTTCTCTTTCCGTCAAGGCTTCTCCAGACATATGTTTTCTACCATCTTGACCACCTGAGCACTAAATAAATCTTATCGACAACATTCGACCATTGACCCGAACTTATTGCATCAAGTGCATCAGCGTCGTGCAGCAAAGGACAAAAAAGGCGTTGTGCACAACGAAAGACTCGGTCATTCATTCAGGACTTCTGACTTCTTTTTCAGACATGAAACCACAAAAAATACAAACAAAACATTGACCACAGTCTGCATGTCATTCTGTCAGCTCTAAAGATGCATGGTCTGAAGCTTCAAGTGGGTCAAATCCCCCATCTCCTGGATTCGAACCCCCCAGCCCACTCTCCCAAGCCATCTTTCCACCCGTGGCCATTCTCCCAAGCTAACCCTTCACCGCCTAGTCCTAGACATCAGCTCAGCTGCTGACCGCCCCAACCAAGATCCGCACATCCAAGGACCACTCTGGACAGAAAGATCGTGGCCTTCTCTCCCACACTGCACTGGCAGCTCAAGCAGCTGGTCTCAAACGCCACGAAAAAATCACGTGAACAGCTCGTCTCTGTGCAAGGATTCTTCCCAAGAAACCCAGAGTTTGTTGCGCCTTAAAGTTCACTCATCCTGCGATCTGCTGGATGTCCAACCCATGAAACGCGTAGGGAAAAACGCTTCGGACTTCTGACTGCACCACTCAGTTCGAACGGCCGTCCCGCCGAGGGCGGCCGTCCCTCCGGTCCCAAAACTTGCCAGAGCACATAGTAGTTGAAGGGAGAACCAGGCGGAGGTGGCCAGTGATACCTCACTTGGAAGCACTGAGACATGCGTGATCGCGCTGGGACCAAAGAGTACATCGTTCATCAATTTGAAAAGCGGCTTATCTTTGAACGTCCTAGTTCTGAATCTCGGGAGAGGTTGCCAATAAATTGAATAAAGGCAAATAAGATCAAACAGCTGAAATTCTCTCATATTCACATGGCAGTTGGGACCTGTTTGGTTTCCGACCCTCTCCCATGCTGCTATCACAGAGCTGGACAGACTAGACTTTGGGTCTGCTTGGAGAAGCCCAAAGAGAAAGCACTTCTCCTCGAAGAGAAAGCACTTCCCAGGCCAAAGCCTGGAACCCACTTCACTCCAGAAGACCTTTTCCTTTTTCCTTTCGGGGGGACCACAACGGCCCAGGTATCCAGTAGAGAAGACGAAGAGACTGAGCCCCACTCCCAACTGAGCTCTTCGCTGCCCAGCGTACTGGTCTGCTTTGCAGGCCTGCGAGACAGCTGGGCTGACCGGCCACTCCAACCGTGCAAGGGCGTTGACTGACAAGACTTGATTCAACTAGAGTCAATGCCAAAAAGAATCTTTGAAAAGAAGGAGCAGACCAAAAATCAATGCCGCGTTTATCTGGTTCTTGTGTAGCCTGAGATTCGCAAAGTCAAAAAGGACCCACCCTCCATGGTGGAAAACTTCACCCGCTTCCCTCCCTTCTCAACAGCTGCCTTTTGGGCAAAGTAAACGCCGGAGCCGTACATCCCACGCACACTGCTGAGCCTGGCGCGAAAGAAGAGGAGGGGACAGGTCAAGGGGGGAGATAATGTGGAGGTGTCCCCTCTGAAAGTGGGAGGTGTTGGTCTTTTCTTCACGAAAGAGGTGAAGCAAATAGTAAGACATAGACCAAAGAATCCAAAGACATGGCTTCGCGGGTTCTCTCTTTCAGAACACCTTCCCAAATAAGATTCATCCATCGACTTCGGTGGCTGAAGAAGCTACGCCGATGGTGATCTGCTTGTTTGAGGACCTCCTTGTTTGAGCGTGAAGAATGGGCCTTTGAAAGGCCTGAAAAGAACGCTTCAAATCAACTCACCCGTAGGATGGAAAAAGGGGCGCCTAACCTCCTTTCACAACCCTTTTTCCCTGTGGATTGAAGTAATCCATGCTGCACCATTCGAACAACAACAACAACAACAACTACTACTACTACTACTGCTACTACTACTACTACTACTACTACTACTACTACAACTACAACTACAACAACAACTACAACAACAACTACTACTACTGCTGCTACTACTACTACAACTCCGTCCAACTAGACCAGACTCACCCGATCAGAGGACTGCCACTGTCTTGGGTGCAAAGATCTCCCCTTCCTTTGAACATGGTGAGAAACTGAACAGCACCCGGCGTACCAAATCGAAGCCATGCAGCGCTCAGCTTGAGCTCATCTCGTAGTACGGTTAGTTCATCCTCAATGAAGGGTGCACATTGGTACATCCCCATCAAGCTGCATCTTTTGAAGGACCGACCGGTTGACCTACCTGGAAGGCCAGGGCTCCAAGTCTTTGACCCATCCCCCAAAAAACTTCTCCCATGCCTGTCATCAAAGCCTGACTGCTTAATGGCATAGACCGGATTTTTGTCCTGCATTGGCTGGCGGAACGCAATTATCAGACCTCTCCGAAGATCCTTGAAACTCGGGGGAGAGGAGGGGTCACGGTGAGGGTTGAAAGAGCCTGGAGCCCAGCCCACCCTCAGAGGGCAATGCGAAAAACTGTTTGGTGAGATTAATGTCTTGCAGACACAGCTTCACAAAGTACAGCCAAAACATGACGCCATATCCAAGCAGAGTGGAGTGAAAGTACACGATGAGCTGGCATTTTTCGCTGTCGGATGAGCCCACTTCATCGGTCCTTTTCAGGGAAGATCACCTGCATCCGGCGCAGACGATCATCCGGTGCAGATGTGAACCCTTTGGAAGGCGCTCTTCCTCACTCTGACGACCCCAACCGACTGGACAACGACCGAACAGATTGAAATGCCCCGTCAAGTCGAGAGATTGGCTCAAAAACGTTGTGACTCAGTCGCTCCGAAAACCCTTAAACTTAACAGAGACATAAAGACCTCCAACCTAAGAGCGATGGCCTCCAACCTAAGAGCGGCAACCTAAGAGCGGTGGCCTCCAACCTAAGAAATATGGCCTCCAACCTAAGAGCGATGGCCTCCAACCTAAGAGCAGTGGCCTCCAACCAAAGAAATATGGCCTCCAACCTAAGAGCCATGGCCTCCAACCTAAGAGCGGTGGCCTCCAACCTAAGAAATATGGCCTCCAACCTAAGAGCGATGGCCTCCAACCTAAGAGCGGTGGCCTCCAACCTAAGAAATATGGCCTCCAACCTAAGAGCGATGGCCTCCAACCTAAGAGCGATGGCCTCCAACCTAAGAGCGGTGGCCTCCAACCTAAGAGCGATGGCCTCCAACCTAAGAGCCATGGCCTCATACCTAAGAGCCATGGCCTCCAACCTAGGAGCCATGGCCTCCAACCTAAGAAATATGGTCTCCAACCTAACATGGAAAGTGCAGGATTCGGAAGATGGTCATCGAACAAGAGGGACGTGAATTTTCCACTTCCATGTTGACTGTCCCGCGACTGTTGGCGACCAAACTGAATTCATTCACCTGGCCATGCATGGCATTCCCCCCAACCTCGCCTCGCCGGTATTGAGGTTCACAGCACCCTGACCCGGGCTTCCATGGAACCTCAGACACCAGTTCTTGGGTCAGGAGTCAAGCCATGACGAGTCCAATCCCAGAAAGCCTGCAAAATGTAAGTGCGCCTAGAGTTCATGACATCCCAATCCCAACATAGTTCGGGACTTCACTTTGCTGTTTGCACACAAAAGTGCGACCCTCCCAAACACTAACCACCCCAGTGGAAGTGTGGGAAGAACATTGCAGATATGACAGCATGCAACCGAGCCTACCTTGCAACATCAGCCAAAGCTGAGGCGGCCTGGCAGGAGCCTCTCGTTCCTCTTCCGGTCCAGGCCCAGTGATTTGACCTCGGACGGACTTGCAGCAATGCCTGGGAGGAATAGCCTATTCAACAAACCCGTTGGGGGAATCGCGGCATGTTTGTTGTGCACATCCATGACTTTGAACCTGTTGGTTCGCTTACTCTCGAGATGTTCGCCTGGACATCGATAGACTGACTGGTCCATCGAGAAAGACCATATTGAAGGTACCTTCATCTGAGTTTAGAGTTTAAAGCCAGAAAGAATCCACAAAGCCTACATTCCCATCCTCCCAACTTGTATGCTGGAATTAAATTCATTGTTTTGGGATGTTTTTGGTACTCCTCCACTGCCCAAAAATAGCTGGGTCTCCAACGAAGTCCTTGATCATCGCAGCACCATGGAGCTTCTGGCGCCCCGCGCGCCGCGCGTTTTTAGGGGGGCGAGGAACCCTGCTGAACAAAAGGGGGGGTATTCTGGAGGTCCTGACGCATCCCAAATCGAAAAGCTAATGATTCATCATGAGTCACGATATTCGCCATATTCACCATGTGGTCTGTGACGACATTTACTCATCGAAAGTATCTTCACCATATTCACTGGCGCCAGTCCAGGCTGCAGGGGCCTCGTCCTCCATGTCAAGCTCCTCACAGACACGCTGAAATCGACGGTGCAATAGGCCACACCACGCGAGACACAACTAAAATCGCATGCTGTGGAGGTTTCCCGACGTTCGCCGCCAGACTTTTGGCGAAATCCATGATCCATGTTCTATCTCTTTAGCCGTTCGCAGAGCTATCCGCATCCGCTCCATCTCCGTCGCCCAAGCGTCGAAGCATCGGCGCCTGGATGGCGTCTTCCGTCCGCTTTCGGAGGGCGGCCTGGAAAGCCGTCACTTCTGGTGACGGTGGGAAACACTTCAATTCGTGGGTTGAGAGCCAGAAAAACCGTCGTCACCGTCTGTGAGCCTTGACAAATGCCCAACTCCACGGCCCTACACTGGCCAGGCAAGAGTTATGCTTCTTGAAACTCAAACTCAATCCTACACTGGGAGACCAGGAACCGTGTGGGCGGTCATGTTTCAAAGCTTTTTATAACACGGTGTGATAATTGATCGTCCCATACCTGCCACAAAAATTCGGTCCGCCGCTGACCCTGCAGCGTTTTATGAACATGGCTAACAAGCATAAATATAAACTTTTGTCTGCCTGATGTATTACAGTATTTGAAATTATGACTTCTCTCTTTCCACCAACAGGAATAGAATGGCTGCCCGATCCTCGATATCTTCACCCACAATCCCCAACCTTAAGAATATCTGCAGAATCTGACTCTACGTCACGTCTGACTAACCATTCCGCTCCCGTCCTCCTCCCCTGAGCCACCCAACGCTCATCTCCTTCAAGCTTGCCTGGTGACGGCCAACCAAAGCAGGAGGAAACTTGATTGCTGGAGTTGGATGCACTTGTTCCTAGTAGCTTTCTTGTTAGTACTAGTAAGGCACTTGTTACTACTAGCGATGCACTTGTTTCAAATAGCAAACATTGGAGTTGGAACGCATTTCTGGACTTCATGGGATGTTCTCCCACCCCGACCACCCATTCATTCACCCTCAACATTTAAGTTAAGTACCTACTAGTAACAAGTGCATCGCTTCTAGTAACAAGTGCCTTACTGGTAGT